CGGAACTCCTGTGGATATGCTCCAGGAACTCCCTCCTGTCAGCATGGCTAAGGCTTTTCGGAGTGAAGCTTCAGAGGCATCTGAGCTTCCTTCTCCAATGTCTGATTCCCAAGAAACTCCAGCAGCCTGCTGGGGTTTGAAACGGAATTTAAGTCTCTTTTTTTGAGGTGTGCAAACTCTACCCCGTTTGTGTTAATTAGTTCAATTATTCATATAGGAAACATTGTGTGTGAGGCCTTGGGATACAGAAATACTAGAGGCCTGATGCATGAAATTCGTGCACGGGGCTCGGCCCTCGCAGCCGAGGCTTTGTCCAGAAGGTCGTCGGAAGGTCCTCCGGTCTAATTAGCATATTACGCTTTTATTATTATAGATTAAGACTGTCCTCCCCTTGGTGCTCTGTGACCAGGGGTCTAGCAGAAGTGAGACCCAGGGCCCACATCAGGTAGTCACCAGCGGAGGGAGCCAGTATACGAAATCACTAATCCAGGTACATTTCACTTTGTTAGAGCAGGTACATCTTCTATAGGGGTTGTGAAATTAAAGTTTTATAATTTTTGGCTTTAAAAATCTTAAACTCTATGGTGAGTATTTCAGTAAAGCAAGTCTTTACTCGCTAATGGTTTTTTTCATTGATTCTTGACTTTTTTAGAGGTTGCTGGCCTCTCTTGAGATTTTTATGAAAATCTACTTATACACACAAAATTGTGCATGCAATGTCAGGGGGTCTTGGACACCTGAGCCTGTTCCCGGACCTCAGGTTAAGAATCCCTCATCTTGTGGCAGGAGTTTTGTATATTGGGTTCCCCAGAGGAAACCTGCGAATTCTGTCTCGTGGCTACGTTATTCTTCTGAGGTCCTGTAAAGTGAGAATAAGGTATTTTCATCAATAATTCAATCATTAATAGTATTAGGCTCCGAAAACATTGTAATTGAGTTAAAAACACATTCATTTCAAGAGGAAGTGCTGTGGAGAGCCCTTGTCCTTTAAAAGTACCTTGTGTGTCTGACCTGTTTATGTGCAGTGTTCCTGATTCCTGGTTGGTTAGATTTCTTTCTGGGAGTGGGACTCGGCCCCTCCTCTCTCTCACCTACATCCACCTGATAGAGCTCTGAAGGCCTGGATTCAGCCTCAGTGGTGTTTGGCCTGCACGGTAGTAAACATTTTTTTTTGTAATTAGTTGCCAACATTTCGCATACAATGTCCTGGCTCCCCTGGCCCATGTTCCTGAGTGGCGGCAAGCAGTGGGGAGTGAGTGGCAGCTGACTTCACACACCGCAGTCCCCACCACTTCCTACTGCCTCCCTGAGGGTGTATTTTCCACTAGGCCGGCACATCTCTTTTTCATATCATCTACCCACTTAGCTCATTTGTTGAACTGGACAGTCTTTAGAGATATTTACGGTCCTGAGCCTTGTCTGAGGAGGGCTTTGTTAGGCTAAGGAGTTTGTAAACTGGGTGGACAGGCCTCCTAGAGCCCCAGGAGCTTTGGCACTTCTGCGAGCATCTCTAAATGCTGTGTGGCCAGGAGCCTGAATGGGTGAAGTGGACCCATGCTGTCCTCCGGAATAGGGGACTTCCTGTCTGTCTGGCCAGGCCACCAGTCCCTCACGGTCTCTGGCGACCCAGGGAAGATTTTTGAAGCCAAAACGAACCTTCCAAGTGAGAGTGTTGTCACAGAGGGTGAGCAACTTCTTCCTGGCTGCACACTCAGGGTTCCCCCAGTCCTCTCTTCCCAGATGTTGGGGGTTCTTTTGCACTAAGAAATAAAACACAGCTCAGGAATGTGGGTCCAAGGCAGAATCCTTAGCTGGTGCCCCCTGCTGCCACTACCAGTGAGCGAGTCCTGTTTCTCACCCCTGGTGTTCGTCCTTGGTGCTTGCCCAGGTGTGACCTTTGGCTTGTGCTACAAAAAGGCCAGGTCTTCTCTCCTTCTCTCCGTTTCCCCAGGACCTCCGACTGCTGCTCACCAAGGCTCACAGTAACCAGAGCCCCTGGGATTGACACAGTCCCCGAAATAAGTCAGTCTCCAGATGGCTAGCTTTTGGCTCTTATCAGCCACCCATTTTTCCCTTTCATTTGTATTTTTTTAAAATTTATCTTCATTGTTCAAAGTGTTACAGATGTCTCCCCCCCAACGCCCCCGCATTCACCCCGTCTAGCCCATACTCCCCCCACCCCAGGCCTTCACCACATTATTGTCTGTGTCCATGGGCTGTGCATATATGCATATAGGTTTTTTTTTTTTGGTTAATCTCGTCCCACCTGTATTTTTGTATTTTTTGATTTAGACATTTAAGGAACTTGATCAGAGACTTCTGGTGAATTGTGGGTTGGAGGTTGAGAGAACAAGGAAGGGACATGGTGGCTCCTTCAATGTTCGTTTTCTCTCGCTGGTGATGAAGGGTGTTGTGGAGGGAACACTGGATTGAGAGTCAGGTTTTACCTGTGTGATTTGGGCTTCCCTTTGAACTCCTCCGAGCTTAATTTTTCTCATTTATATAATGGAACTAAACCTCTTACATTGTCTGCTGTCCAAATGCCCAAAAGGCCAAATGAGGACAGGCATTTGAAATCATTGGATAAACTATAAAACTAAACAAGGTAAAGTGTAGGTCTGTGTTGAACAAAGAGGCTGATGGGAACTGGGGAATGACCAGTGACCTGTTATAGGAAAGAATGGTTTGCGCATTTTTGTGGAGTAGACATTTGGTGCTAATGTATGCACATTAGTTGATTTTGTTTGGCTGGGGGTCAGATGGGGCTCCCTGATGATGTGCCGTCTATGACAGAATCAAGAAAACCACATGGCTCAGTACCGTGATCCTTCCAGAATGGAACTAAAGGAGACAGGCTCTGAGAGGCACAGTTCCTCATCCACACTGTAGAGGTGGTGATAAATCCATCTCGCAGGGTGGCCGAGAAGATCGGATGAGAGAGTGGATCTGAAGTAGTTGTTATGGTGCCCGGCATAGAGAAAGTACTCAGTACATCTCACTCTCATACATTCGTGCGGTGCCTGCCCTCCTGCTTTTTACATGGGCACCCCTCACCCAGCTAGTCCCACCTGTCCCGAGTGATGGACAGAGATGAGGAGGGGACAGGTGTGGTAAGTACTAAAGGATAGGACGTCTTCGGTGCATTTGAAAACAATAATTAAAAATGGAAACTGATGAAAAGTTGGTTGGCTTAATATTATCATCAGGACGTTGGCAATTCTAAACAATGTCCTCCCCTAGGTACACATAGTTCCCACTGTCCCTCCAACCATTGCTAGCCTTTCTCAGTGCCCCATGTGAAGTACCCACCAGAGTCGAATCATGTCCATATTCTTGGTTCTTTCTGTTGTATTTCGTTTTTTAAAAAAATATTTTAGCCCTGATTGGTTTGGCCTCGTGGATAGAGCATCGGCCTGCGGACTCAAGGGTCCCAGGTTCGATTCCGGTCAAGGGCATGTACCTTGGTTGCAGGCACATACCCAGTAGGGAGTGTGCAGGAGGCAGCTGATCAATGTTTCTCTCTCATTGATGTTTCTAACTCTCTATCCCTCTCCCTTCCTCTCTGTAAAAAATCAATAAAATATAATTAAAAAAAAATATTTTTATTGATTTCAGAGAGGAAGGAAGAAGGGAGAGAGAGGTACAAACATCACTACTGAGAGAGAATCACTAAATAGGCTGCCTCCTGCACGCCCCACACTGGGGATCGAGCCCACAACCCGGGCAATGTGCTCTGACTGTGAATCGAACCTCCTGGTTCATAGGTTGATGCTCAACCACTGAGCCACACAGTCGGGCTGTGTTTCTTTTGAAATATGTACATGGTAGAAAAATGGGCACCTACACATTCTATTTTACCTTATTGTAACTGTGACTGTCTACTTGGCATTTTAAAAATTATTTTCTATCAATAGACTTTGTTTTAGACATACAGAAACATTCAGCAGGTAGTACAGTCTCCATATACTCTGCACATGCCCAGTTTCCCCTATTGTTAACATCTTACAGTACATTTGTTACAGTTAATGAGCCAGTGTTGATACATGGTTATAACTGAAGTCTGTAATTTGTTCACACCGCCTCAGCTTTTACCTCTGGCCTTTACCGGTTACGGGATCCCAGGACACCATATTATGTTTCCTCTTGGCTGTGACAGTTCTCAGACTTACCCTGTTTTTATTGGCTGAGACAGATTTGAGACGTGGACTGGTCAGGCATTTCGTAGAATGTCCCTCTTTGGGAATTTGTGGCTTTGTTTATTTATTTTCAGTTATTTACTGGAAGCTTACTATAGGTTAGTCATTGTGTGTGGCTTTGGGGATATAACAGTGAGCCAAGACATTTACAAGCAACATTTACACGTTAGTGACATGGACTCAGTTTCTTCTGAGTGTGTGGGTGGCGGGTGGATGGTGGACTTTGTGGAGAGCTCTCAGGGCGTTTCTAACTGGCTTAGGTGTGGCCTCCAGTCCCCTTCAGAGGTCTTCCCCCCTACTCTGGACTAATATGGCTCCTTTGTTTGCCCACAGAATGTCCTGAAGGAGCACGCTGATGACGACCCCACTCTGGCCATCACTGGGGTCCCCGTAGTCACCTGGCCAAAGAAGACTCCAAAGGTAAGACGTAGGTTGCCCGACGCTGGGTGACCATTTCCACGGCCTTTCACATCTGTATGGTGAATGTTGACATTTTCAGGAGGGATTCCTGAGAGAGGGCATTCCAGTTAAGATGGTTTTAGTGGTTTGTTCATTGCAAGTGTTTTGGTTTTCGAAAGGGATCATTTTCCCTAGCGTGAGAATTGCAGGCAGTGCCTCCTGGTGGTCACCCAGGAAACGGGGGGAAGTGATGCCTCACCTTTCCCTGAGGTGAATTTTCTTCTCCTTCCCTTTTTTCTTTCTCTCCTGACCTCTGCTTTTTTTCTTCCAGCGGCTTCGTGCACTGTTTTCTTTTGAAAGTGAATTTTTTCTCTTTATAAAATTGGTGGATGCTTACCATAAAAAAAGTCTAATCAAACAGGAAAGGATAAAGACGCTGGGAAGAGCTCTAGCTGGTTGGCTCAGTGGATTGAGCATCCGTCCATGGACTACAGAGTCATGGGTTTGGTTCTGGTCAAAGGCGTGTTCTTTGTTTGCAGGCTTGATCCTTGGCCAGCCCTGGTAGGGGCGAGTGCGGGAGGCACCCAATCGATGTGTCTCTCTCACATCGATGTTTCTTTCTCTATGTCTCTCCCCCTCCCTTCTACTCTCTCTAAAAATCAATAGAAAAATATCCTTGGGTGAGGATTAACAAAAATAGAAAAAAAGACACTGGGAAGAATACTAGAGACATCTCTAGAATTTATGGGAGCAGGTTGCTCTGCCTAGTTCTCTACCTCCTTATCTTCTTTTTTTTTAATTGTTTTTTTTTTAATTTTTGATTTTTTAAAATTTATTTATTTTATTTATTTTTTATTTTATCCCTTATCTTATTTAGCCCTCACCTCAAAGTCCACCATCCAGAGAAAACCAGTCAGGTTTGGGTGTGTCTCCTGATGGCTGTGTTAGGCTGCGATTCATGTGTGTCAACCCATCCATCTACCATCAGTCTGTCTGCACTCAGCTCCACTACTTTCTTAAGCAAGTTATATATGCCCCAGATCCTTACCTTCCTCATTTGTAAAAAGGGGTTACACCATATATTCTTTGAATATACCATATATTCGGTGAGGATTAAATGAGATAATGCACACAAAGTCCTTAGGACAAGGAGCGACCAATGGTTAGGGCTCTCCAAATGTGAGTTGTAACCTCAGCAACCTTCCTCCTTGATGGGTATTTTGCTAATTTCTGATTTATTTTAATTTTATTTTTTTGCCATTCTGTAAATTACTGAGAGTAACATTCTAGATCTGCGCTTTCCAAAATGGTAGCTACTAAGCTGTATGTGATTGCTGAGCACTTGAAACATGGCGAGCAGTGCTGTAAGTGTAAATACACAGCAGATTTCAAAGATTTATCCCAAAAAAGAACAGTGCAGAATATCTCATTATTTTTTATTGATTGCTTATTGAAATTTGGGTTGCCAGATTTTTTAAAAAGATGCCCATTTAAATTTGATTTTCAGATAAACAACAAATAAAATTTCTAATATAAGTATATCCTACATATTACATGGGATATACTTACGCTAAAAAAGATTATTCGTTATTCATCTCAAATGTACTTGGGGTTACTGTAGTTTTTTAAAAATCCTCACCAAAGGACATGCTTGTTGATTTTAGAGAGAGGAAGGGAGAGAGAGAAACACCAATGATGAGAGAGAATCATTGATCGGTTGCCTCCTGCATACTCCCCACTGGGGGTCGAGCCCACAACCCGGACACGTGCCCTGACTGGGAATTGAAACGTCAACCTTCGGTGTCCAGGATGCCACCAAACCAATCGAACCACACCAGCCAGGGCTCTTTCTACCTGTTTACATGTGGCTACAGTAAAGTTTAAAATCCGTATGTGGCTCACATTCTGTTTCTATTGGACAGTGCTGCTCTGGGTTTTTCTTTTTACTTTCGTTTATCCCCTCAGGGCATATTCATTCCTAAATGCAGATCCACTGGGGAAAAGGGTGCTCATTCCTGGTGGGTATTGGATTCTAATACTCTGGAGCTTAGTGGGAATTTAGGAGGCAGTGGGAATGGAAGAGGATTCGCCTCCCTGACTTCCGTCTTTAGGTCCCCAGTCCATGGAGGCATTTTAAAACTGGCTTTCCCCGACCTGGGCAATAAATATAAATGCCATTTAGCAGACCACAAACTGTTCTCGCAGACCTAGCACCTTGAAACAGACCAGCTAGGCCCCACAGCTGTGCTGAACCTGAAGAGGAAACCGTGGCTTTGCCTCACTGCCTCCAGGGGAAGGAGTAGGGTTTGCAGAATGTGGGCTGTTAAAGAAACAAACTTACCGCTACCCACGGCCATCTCACAATCCATGGAGAGGTCCAAAGGGGGAAGTCACTTCAGGACTATAGATGTCCCCATCGTCTCTGCCTGAGACCCGCAGCCCGCTCCTCAGGGGCATATAGACATTAAAAAAAAAACCCCACACTCGAACATCTGCCCCCCATTCCTCCAGAGGCCTGGAAACGGCAAGCTATTTCTGGGGGAGTAGCCCTGACCCCAGGAGGGCCCTGACCCCGAGGAGGATCGGTTATAAGCATCGGTCTATACCCAAGTTGGGCCTGGATAGGAAAAGTTGGAGCCCTTAGGCATCTGGGAACGAGGGAGTAGGAGGGAGAAGGAATAACCTTTGACATTCAGCAACACTTATGGGGTCCCAGCCATTTTTTAATAAAACAAATGTCATTCACGTACCATACAGTTCTCCCACTTAAAGTGCACAATGAGATGTTGTTAGTATATTGAAAATGTTGAAAGAGTTGTACAAACCATCACCACAATCTAATTTTAGAACATTTTTAAAATATATATATTTTATTGATTTTTTACAGAGAGGAAAGGAGAGAGATAGTTAGAAACATCGATGAAAGAGAAACATCGATCAGCTGCCTCCTGCACATCCCCTACTGGGGATGTGCCCGCAACCCAGGCACATGCCCTTGACCGGAATTGAACCTGGGACCCTTCAGTCCACAAGCCGACGCTCTATCCACTGAGCCAAACCGGTTTCGGCTAATTTTAGAACATTTTTGTATCCCCTTCCCCTAAGTTTTCTTTTTTTGTTTGTTTGTTTGTTAATCCTCACACGAGGATATTTCTCCATTGATTTTTAGGGAGAGAGGGAAAGATAGAGGGAAACATCGATGTGAGAGAAACACATCGACTGGTTGCCTCCTGGATGCTCCCGCACCAGGGCCCAGGCTGGGGAGGAGCCTGCAACCGAGGCACGTGCCCTTGGCTGGAGTCAAACCCGAGATCCTTTGGTCTGCAGGCTGACGCTCTATCCCCTGAGCCAAACCAGCTGGTGCCCCCTAAGCTTTCTTTTCCCAGCCATCGCTAATCTACTTTCCTTCTCTATGAATTTGCCTATTCTGGGCATTTCATAGAAATGGAATCATACAGTATATGGCCTTGTGTGATTGGCTTCTTTCACTTAGCGCAACATTTTTGAGCTTCATCCAAGTTTAGCATGTATCAGTACTTTACTCCTTTATATGGCCGAGTGATAATTCTATTGTATGGCCACATATCATATTCTGTGTGTCCATTCATCTGCTGATGGGCTCTTGAGCTATTTCTACTTCATGGCAATTGTGAATAGTGCTGCTCTGAACATTTGTGAACAGGTTGTTATGTGAGCCCGTGTCTTCATTTCTCTTGGGTAGAGATACCTAGGAGTAGAACTAGCTGGGCAGATGGCACCTCTATGTTGAACTTTGAGGAACTGGCAGGCAGTTGTCCATAGTGGCTGCCCCTTTCTCCCTCCCCACCAGCTGTGTACGAGGGCTCCGATTTCTCCACATCCTCACCAACACTTATTGTCTGTCTTTTCGATTAGAGCCATGCCAGCTCGGTCTTTTTCTTTTTAATTTAGTTTATGTTTTCTATCATTTCTTTGAAGTTTATTGTATGAGTCTGGCAGGGCCACCCTAACAACGTACCACAGATCACGTGGCTGAAACGACAGGAGTTCACTTCCTCACCACGCTGGAGGCCAGATGTCTGAGATCAGGGTGTCCGTTGGCAGGATCTGTGTATTTCTTCCGAGGACTGTCTTTGGCGTGTAGGTGGCTGCTGTCTCTGTGTCTTCACATGGTCTTCCCTTTCTGTGTATCTGTGCCCTAATCTCCTCTATTGGTAACGACACAGCCATACTGAATTCGGGCCCCGCCATAATGCCGGGTTTTAACTTAGTTACCTTCTTAAAGACATAGCTCCGTTTGGAGGTGCTGGAGGTTCAACATAGGAATTTGGGGGTTGGGCACAATTCAGCCCACGACATTTATTGTAAATGATTTCAGCGTCCAAAAAGGTATAAATAATAGACTAATGAATACCATGTCCTCCCCCCCGGCCCCCAGTTCTAGAAATAAATGATTGCCAGCTCAGCCCACGTCCCCTGGAAGTTCCTCCTCAGTGTATGTACTGAGTATGTTTAGATCTTATTTAACCCTTACAAGGAGGTTAGGAGGTGGGTAGTCTTATCCCCATGGAGCCGTGGAAGCTGGGGACTCGGAGAGGGGCCCTGGCACAGTCGGGGCCACGCAGCTGGTGAATAGTAAGGCGTTTCTGTCCCCAGACGTGTTTCTCTGCTCGGAGGAACTCAATGAAATGTGGCAGAGAGAAGGGGGAGAGGGGGCCCGGTGCTATATTTATGCATTTCCTGGCCCGCGAGGTTAAAAAGTTAACGGGAACGGAAGAAGTAAGTAAACGACTGACTGCCTGGGCCGCCCGGGGTCTCCTGATTCCCAGGTTTGCAGTCGGCTCCTTCTCAATTTCATGCAGGTTGGGTTGAAAGATCAAGGGTGCTCACCGAGGCTGTCAGGATGCAAGGTAGGGAGCAGCACGGGGTCTGGGTCGGGTTACTTAACAAGTAATTAATGAGAAATGATGATTAGCTGGAAATGCTTTGATCTCCCACCTTGGCTCCCGCAGAACTTGGCCCTTTTCTGGAAGTGATTAGGC